ATGTTAGACCCAATTTTTCAATTTTAGTTAGTTACCTCTCTTGAGTGAAAGTAACCCTAGTTGATTCGCTTTATCCACTATAGAGATATGTTGATAAAAACGTAATCAACCGCATTTAATTGGAGTGAAAATAATTCAATGATCACCTAAGGCTAGGAGTATCTCTCTCTCCCCTAAAACAACCTAGAGCATTAATTACTTTGGTCTAGAAGCACAACCATCTCTCGATTATTGCATAAAACACCTAACTCAATCATCATTGGCCAAACAAATAATGGAAATGTAAACACAATAAAAAATGCATAAGAACAATGGCACCTTAGCATTAAATGGTAAATATATTGATATTAATGAAACTTAGGTGGAGTTACATCATAAATCCCAACTATAAACCCTTAGCCTATTATCAAGTAAGGGTAGAACATAGAGAATATGATGAAATCCATTATAAAAGGAAAGAGCTAGTGAAAAGATACAAAATGAAAGAAGAAACCCTTCCCTTAAATGTATTCTTGATGAAAAATAGAGTTGAAATCTTGAATCTTCACTTGAACTCCAAAATCTTGGTCTGAATCTTCTCATTTTCTCCTTTCTTCTTTGTCTCCTCAAGTCTAGGATTTGTTCAAGATAAAGAATGAATGGTAAGAAATGGTGAAAAGGGTGTTTAAAAATGAGAAAAATCGTCCTAACCAAGTTACAAGAAGAGTCCATGAATAATTAAAATGTGCGTACAGGTCTTGATTTTCAACCTAAGGCGCGCGCCTAGTACAAAATAAGGCGCATGCCTTAGCCCTTTGGTTGCTCTCAGTTACCTAAAATTGGGGCTAAGGCGTGCCCCTTAACTACAGGCTTAGGAACGCACCTTAGCCCTTGTTTTCATTCTCTTCAGTTTGGTCCACAACGAATTGCACACAAGGTTCTTCAACTTTGATTTCATCCAATTTAGTCCTTAAATTTTGAATTCCTTTTCAATCACGTCTTTCATAATTTGTAACTTGAGTCCTTGAGCTTTCTAACTTGTATATTTTAGTCCCCAAAGTCATCATTTTTGTTCATTTTTTTTCCTTTAGCCTTCCTCTCTTTCAATTTGGGATTTTAGCTTACAGAAGCTACAATTAGACAATTGTGAATAGGAATTAGCTCAATTTTATCAATAATTAGCTTGTTAAAGTCTCTAATAAGCGTGTAAAAACACACTAATCAAGGTATTCAAAACGCCATCGTTAAAAACTCCACCAAAGTCAGTGATCGAGCTCCTAACTCGAGGTAAAAAAAATATTAATATGGAGGAAAATTGGCCTGAACTATGAAAGGGCCAAGCATAAAAGGAAGCATGATTTGAGTCCTCGACAAGAAATTTCTCAAAATAAGCAGAGGCAGGAGGTACCACTGATGTCATTCACCCGGTTAAACACTTCCAAGACCGACATCTTGATGGAGACCAAGGATATGAAGAAACTAAAGTGGCCTTTTAGGATAAAGTCCCATCCTAACACTCGAGACAAGAGCAAGTATTGTGATTTTCATCGGGATCACGGACATAACACAGAGAATTGCAAGGCATTGCAGTAGGAAATTGAGGCCCTTATTAAAAGATGATTCCTGAGTTCTTATGTTGGTCATGATAAACACCCGAGGAATGATCGTGACAAGTGAAAAACCGTTAAGGCCAAAGACAGTGGTCAACATGAACTATTAATATTATTATCGAAGGTATAGTATCAAAAGGAGACTCGAAAAGTGGGCGAAAGTAGTATGCCCGACAGTATACCTTGGCTTCATGAACAATTGAAGATGACCATGAGGACATTAATTTCGGGTCAAACGATTTGAAAGGTATATTGTTTACTCATAATGATGCCTTGGTATTTCAGTGATTATGGCTGACTTTGAAGTGAGAAGGATCTTGGTAGATAATGGAAGTGCAACTAATATACTTTCTCATGAAGCCTTCACTAAGATGAGAATTTCGGCCGAACAAATAAAGACTGTCAAACTCCTCTTCAAGGATTTGGTGGTAGTGTCATCATCCTGGAGGGAATAGTCGAGCTTTTCTCTAACCTTAGGTTCTAATCAGAGGCAGGTGACAGAGATCACACCTTCCACGTAGTTTGTGCTTCGATGGCTTACAACGCCATCTTAGAAAGACTATTGCTCAAGAAAATTTGTAAGAAATTTCAAATTAGTTATTAAAGCAATTTTTTACTATACTAATTGTTGAAGTTTATAATGGTTTAACAAATGATCCCTCAATTAGAAAAATCAATGCAAATTTTGAAGTATCGTAATTAAATGGACTAAACGACATTAATCCATGTGGCAAACTCTAATAACACAACTACTACAAGAAAGTTGGAGAAAAATTCCAAATTCTTCTTCATATGCCATTGTAAATAGCAGGGAAAATATATTATTTTGGTCTTCTTCAAATGTATTGTAAACAAAGTTCGAACCAACTAATCCCAAAAAGTAAGTGAATGTGTAATATGCGAAATTTAAATTAACTACCAATAACTTGCAACAAGTCACAAGTTATTAAATTTATATGTATTAATATTAATTTAAAGCCTAGGAATCATTCGAGCATAAATATAAAAGTTTAAAGGTAAATAACACAATGATTTATTTATGAAGGAAAAATCCTTGAAGAACTCTTCAAGGAAAATATAAATAAATAAATAACTTTGGACACACGTGTCAGTAAATAATCCACTAAAAAAGATTGATAACACTCTAGATCTAACACATAGGAATATTGCTCATATTATATCCAAGTAAATTAAATGGCTAACATACGAGAACCGTTTGTTATTCCTGCTTGGACTTCATGACAACACACCAGATTATATTTCAATTTTTCTAATCAAGTGACAAATTATGAAACTATTAAGAACTTCTTTGACCAATAGAATAAGAAAAATACTTCAAGATCAATTTGAAATCTCTTACAAACTTTGGTGACGGTTCATGAGATTAACTATAATTATCGAAGAATGTTTAAGTCTATATAACAAGTCAAAATTAGAGGAAGAAAATATGATTTCCTATTTTTAATCGGAACTCTTATTTATTATTTATTTTGTATTGCATCTTTTTCAAAAGTTATATCTATAAATATAACTATTCAAATCNTTTTAATCGGAACTCTTATTTATTATTTATTTTGTATTGCATCTTTTTCAAAAGTTATATCTATAAATATAACTATTCAAATCACCTTATCTTCGCCCAAGCATTCAGTGTCTACATTACGTAATATCCTCGACATGTGTTTCAATCCTCATTAAAAGCTCAACCATCCCTATAATTCAAAAACTATTCCTGACCTATGGTGTACACTTTCCCAATATCTCGAGCCTTTAGGAACAAATGCGCTGGAGCCAATGATGTGGTCACAATTGGCATACCTCTCGAGGAGTACTACTCGAGGACTCATATGTGTTGGCTCATCATATGTATAAGTCATGGAGTCCTCGGGACAATGCAAGAGGATTAGTACCACGCCTCCACGAGATTTTGGTGGCAAAGTCCTCGGGGTAAGACCTCGAGTTACCTTTTTACCTCCCAAGTATGTGGGTTCTCAAGCACTTTTCTTTGCTTAGTTTCAATGACCCTCTTGTTAAGTTCAAAAGAATCATACTCTTTAAGGACTCTAATCTCACTAGACTTCTCAACCCAAGACTCCTATATCTAGGGAGACTATCTCAACAATATTACTATTAAACTATGATTGTCATTGTAATTATAGTACAAGTCCAACATCTCTCTTAAGTAGGACTCTTTGATATAAAAATATTCAACTAATCCAGTTCTACTAGGAACACACTACATACATCTATAAATATAGAGCTTCAGTTTATTATTCAAGTACACTTTTATACAATTTTTAGTCTATAACCTCACGTGTAAATTCTTTCTCTAATTTAAATATCGAAGGTGCAACGAGGACTAGAAAATCAATAAGTATGATTTTTGGTAGCATCAGAGCCTATCACTGCAATAGAAGAATCATGAGTCAGTTTCTAAACTTGAGTCCGAGACAATACATGGGGTCATTTTGGATGTTAAATCTTCAAGGATTGAGTTACAAGATGAATCTCATGGGGGATTATTCTATTACTACAAAGGGATCTCGCATTACTTCTAATCTCTAGGTTTTTCTTTTCTCGCTAATTTTCTGAGAATTGGGTAAAAGTAAAAGCTCTAGAGAAGTCCTAGAATTTCTACGTTGATACCATGTTAGAAAATATTTTCATTTATATATTTTACACTGTACAAGACAATTATATAAAATAGTAGCCGGATATATAGTAGGAAGGCGCTGATGGTTACACTATTCTAGGTTAAGATACAAGATGATTTCACAAAAAAGTGTAATGAAATTATGGAATGAATCCTTCCAATCGCGCCATCAAAATTAATGTATAGTAATCGTTCTACTTATATTTTTAATTTTAAGATAGGTTCAAATTAAATTTCAATTTTTCTATTAGCAAAGCAATCCAATAATAAAAGCAAATACACACTACAAGACGCATATATATATAATTGTAATCGGAAGTCCCCCGGGCATATCCTAGTGGTGCACAGGATAAGGATGAGGTATACTTAACCTCACTGGCAGTCGCAGTATGAACGTTCGATTCCTGAAATATGGATTGAGACTCTTTGTGGGTACCAGTGTACAAACAGTTTTTGTTTCCTGACCTGTTAGGGCACATCCTGCAATTAGCCTCTTTTACGATGCTCCAGGACCGGGACGGAGGGGACCCTTAAGGTTAAGGTTCAACCTTTATAATTGTAATCGGAAATATTTTAGGAAGATGTTGACAATTACACTGTTATAGGTTAAGCTACAAGATGATTTCAAAATTAGTGAAATGAAATTATGGAATAAATCCTTTCAATATTGCCATCAAAATTAATGTACGATTATAGTTCTTATATTTTAAGATAGGTTATAATTAAATTTCAAATTTTCTATTAGCAAAACAATTCAATAATATAAGCAAATACACACTAGCATTCATTATACTAACGAGCCCCAAAGTACAATTACTATACTAATTTCTATCATAATATTTGCACGTGCACACTCATAGACCTCAAGGATCTCCTGTGTCACGACACACCATTACTTAAGATGGGGCTGCTAATATACAAAGATCATGACGGCGTCGTGGAATCAATCAAGAACATTGGCTCCTCATTTTGTGAGATAAGTGAACATATCATGCACCGAGTCCACCTGAAAACTGCTCTGATATTGTTGAGAACCAAAAAACGCATTAAAATTATCCACAGAGCCAGTGACATCCATGTAATTCAACGGAAAATTAAGGCCGGGCTGGCTCTGCACCTCCCTCTCGCACGTGAACTCAGGGGACAGCACATGTTCAGAGCAGCTCGAATCGAGCTTTGGGACAGAATCACATGCTTCGAGGTGCATGAAGTCCTTGTGCACCAGAGGAGATGACGTCGTGATGACGGGCTTCTTATCTTCCTCTGGTGTCATAACTTTGCGGCTGTTGACGCGTTGCTTCTCAATGGATCCCTTTTTGTTGTATATGCGGCATAGCACCCAATCATCCAGCTGTATCAATAAATAATCACCGTTCAAATCTGTCACCGCTAAATCAAGACCGTTCGAAACACTATTATAATATTTAGCAGTCATTCCGAATTTAGCCCCAATTTGTTTTTATAAAAACAGAAATAAATTTTTTAATGAAAATTAATAAAATATGTGATTGAAATTAATTATAAAATTTTGTTATTATTAATTAAATCAAAGGAACTTATGTCCACTAAGTTAACTAGCTCAATTTTTATTAGTAGGTGTAGCAATTGTGACAAATTTGAGGGCCCATTTCTCAATTTTTGAAGTGGATAAGATATTCAACATTAGGAGGGTAAAATAGTCATTTCAGGTTTGAGACCCACCCTCAAGATGTTCTTCTTGTTTCGAACCGATCGGTCCACATCCGCAAGCCGGTACTCATGCATGATCCAATTGGTTTTCTCACCCCTCGGTGCCTTCCCGGCATAGAAAACCAAGGCTTTCTTAATTCCAACCGGCTTCGGCTTCCCAATAGGCTTATCGGCCCCGGTTGCCTTCCAGTACCCAACTCCAGCAGCCCGATTCGGCCTCGAACCATTCGGGTATTTCCTGTCCCTTGGAGAAAAAAAGTACCACTCCTTCTCACCATACAAAGACAATTCTGTACAATTTCATATTACACCCAATTAATTAAGACCCAATTGGAATAACTCAGATCAAAACTTGAAGCGGAAAATGAGTAATTAAAATTTCATTAACAATAATAAAGATCAAATTGGAATTAATCAGCACAACAATTGGAGCTAAAAAATAAGTGATTTAAGACAAAAAAAAAAAATAATAATAATAATTACCAGGAAGGTCCCATGGGTCATACTTGTACAAGTCAATTTCTGCAATAATCGGAGCTGAAATCGGCTGAGAAGCACATTTCCGGCACAGGTAATGCATCACGAGCTCTTCATCGGTTGGGTGAAATCTAAATCCAGCAGGCAATTGCAAATTGGCTGATTCCATTTAGAAAATTGATTATTTCCTCAAAATACTGCTTTATTATTTCTACTTATATATAGACTGAATTTTGATGGAGGGCGGCGGCAGAAGGAGCCTTTGAAACTTTGAACGCTAGGGAGAGAGGATGATATATAGAGAGTAGGAGGACACGTGTCGGGATATGAAGTTGGGTGATGCGGTCATTGCTTACGCATTTGATTTTGGACTGACCTGAGTGAGGAAGGCGTTAATTAAAGCGGCGGTCAGCAATGAATCAGATAAATAAGCCCACAGCCATTATTTCGGAAGTATATATTTTTTACTACTCATTTTCTATCGTACATTCACATAATAAGATATTTTATATATAATAAATTCATTTTATTTTATTTTTTTAATTATACGTTTTCTGAAAAAAACACTACTATAACATTACTTTCTCCACTTTCTCTTTATAATGACCATCAAACAGGGTTAAATCGATACATTTTTATTTCCATGTCATAAGTCACGCAAATTGAGTTGTATCTTAAGTAAAGAAATATAATGCCCTTGTTTGGTGAAGATTAAAATCAAATTGTTATTAATTTTAATAAAAGTTGTTGAAATATGTTATTGAAAAGTTATGAATTTTATGAAATATATTATTAAAATTAATTATTAACTTTGATTAGCTTCACAAAATTTTCAATGGTACAAACGGCTAAAGTCCCTTTTTCTGTTGAACCAATATCTACACACCAAATTTTTTACAACAATTTCACAAAATTTTTAATGTCTCTAAAAAATAAAATGTTTGTTGATTATTTTGCTCCACGAGAGTAACGAGTGATCGACTAGTGTTTAACTGGTTTGATTTTACTATTGTTTTCAATTATATTACACTAAATTTATATAATATGATGTAAAGTATACATTTATTAGTGAATGACAATTATATCTTTTCTAACTCTAATTCTTTCATATAAATATAGGGTTTTGGTTCTTAATGAAATACGCACAAGCCTTTTGACTGCTTTATTTTTATCTCTAATTTATAACACCTTATCATCTCAAAGTTCTAGCCAATTGATTTAGCAAAAAAATATTCCTCTTTTTGCTCACAAATCTCTAGCCAGTTGAGAAAAAAAAAATTCAATCAATCAAAGAATGTCAAGAATTTTAGAGTTTGTTTGGTACAGCTTAAAAATCAATTAAAATCAATTTTTTTTTTTACGTTATTTCACTATTACAGCCTTCATTTTTGAATTCTTCTCTCATAAATAGGACCCACTTTATCTCTAACGATCAAAAAATCAATTATCAAAATCCCTACCAAACAAGCACTTAACCAATTGAGTTTACAAGGAAACTATTATTTTCTACTCAAAGCAAAGGTCAGTATTCCTTTAATTTTAAATTGCATATTGTTTTTAAAGAATCTAAATTAATGTTCCGGAAGAATATTATAGAATTGTTTGAAAATGAATTTTTTATTTTGGGTTATTTTGTTGCTCCTGTAAAAGTAAAAATTAACATAACAACAATATTTAAAAATAATATTGTTTTATTATTCTTGAAGAAGAAACAATGTAAATCAAATTTCAAAAAAATATTGTAGCATTCTTTGAAAATGAAAGTTTTATTTGGTTTATTTTGTTGATCATGAATAAGTAAAAATTCACACAATAATAATATTTTCAACGTATAGTATTGTTATTCTTGATGAAGTATAATACTTTTACTTATTATATTTTAGACGAATTCTATGTCAACATTTTTGGTGAAACATCACTTATTTAAACTTATATTCTATAAAAATATTGTGTAAATACTCCTAAAGAAGTATAAACCTTATATATCTTAAACTTCTAACGAATATTTTGTTGTTGCTTCATAAATAAATGTACGAATCAATATTCTAAATGAATATTGGATTGATTCTTGTGAAAAAACGAGACTCCATATAATATGGAGGAGTTGTATTATTATTTCGAAATCAATAGTTCAAAATGCATTGAATTTGGATACTCTGCACAGCTATATTGATCTCTCAACATTCCTTGGTCTGATCGTCATGAAATTTAGATAGTATGTTCATAACTTGTTATTCTTCAAACATGGCGTTAGAACTAAAATTCAACTATCCATTTGTGAGAAATCTATGCATGAACAGTGGCCAAAATTTTGCAAAAAAAATAGTTTCATTTGATCAATCTTCCTAATGTCAAAATATTTATTTTGAATGCCACTTACAAAATCTATCAACTCATTCCACGAGTTTATATATTCTTTTGAATTGATTGTTCAGTATAAGAATTACGTAAATTGTATGATTAAATTAAATTGTCTAGACCTGTTTTATTTCCATATAAATTTCATTATTGCAATTAAACACATCCTTATTGAAATAAAGTAGAGCAGCTGTACTTTTTGTCCTTATATCAAATTTTGTTCCATTGAATTTTTTTGAGGAGATTTTAACGAGGCACATATAATGTAATGAGATATTCAAGAGGGAATATTGTAAATTATGTATTTATTAGTGAATAACAATTATATCCCTTATAGCTCTAGTTCTAGTTCTTTTTATATAAATATATAGGACTTTGGTTCTCTATAAAATACACACAAGTCTATTGACTTCTTCATTTTCTCTTTAATTTATAACATAACATAACCTGAACAATATGCAAGCTATTTTATTGTTTTAATTAAAATGAAGTGTTCATTATTTTAATGGATAGTATTAAAAATGGTAAAGAAAGCAAAATCTTAATTCGTTGTAATATTTAGTGCTTGTTTGGTACAGATTTTAAACCAATTAAAATCAAATTTTTTATCGTTATTTTACTATTCCAACCGTCATTTTTGAATTCCTTTCTCACAGATAGGATCCACTTTATCTCTAACGGTCAAAAAATCAATTATCAAAATTCCTACCAAGCAAGCAGTTAATATCCTGTGTATCAAGATTGAAGGCTTATATCCAAAATTTTTATAAAATGGCTATATGCAAAATAAAAACAGGACATAAATTCGAAGTAAATAAAGAGATAATATCAATATAAAGTATTATGCTACTTTATTTGTCACTACGATAAATTTAAGTACATCATTAAGACTTTTATGATACCGTGAATTGAAAGTGAAACCATTAGACAAAATAAGCTCTTGTTTTTAATTGTATCAATTCACATGTAGTTCATGCAGCAAACAATTTGGGGGTTCGAAACAAATCGTCGGGGGACATTTTCGAGAACAATAATAAAAAAAATTATTGAAGCAAATGATTAGCAATAAAAATCGTCGGTGATTGTCAACAAATTGATTGATAGACTCCCATTGAAATTCATTTCTATTAATGATTTAGACGAAAATATCAACGACGACTGGTGACCACCAACACGCCTTCATGAGCAATAGCCGGTAGAAATATCATAAGTAACGTCATCATCGAGGAGAAGGCGTACACAAAAAACCATTTTATATTAATATTATTAAATAAATTATCATTCGCAATCTTTGATTATTCTTTTAATGTTACGAATTGTTACCGAACACATGAACGACGATAATTGGATGAGAGCATTTTGATTGTTTTTGTCAGTGAAGCTATCAACAACTCAAGCACACTCGGTGATCATAGTTGGAAGTCCGTATTTGATCAACAATCATAATACAGTCAGTGATCAATCATGAAGTTCACGCCGATGATGTTTTGCTCAATTACTTTTTTATTTATTCTATTTTTATTTTCTTTAATTACTTTTCACAAATATGTTAAGAGCTCGAAAATGAATAGACTTGGATCCTAAGCAAGGCGATTTTTGTTCGTAAGTATATAATTACTTGCAAAAACATACTCTTACCTTTTAATTTTCTAGAATTACACAATTTTTCTTTTGATTACAAAATTTCCGTAAACTCGACGTCCATATGAAAATTGTATTACGATATTGAAATATTTTAGAATTTTTTTTTATAGTAATTACTCTATAAAAATTTTATTGCCAAATTTTATATTGGCAAAAGATTCCCTAAATAAATCTTTTCTTGACCGAACCAAATAAAGATATGTGAACCAAAGCACATCAATATCCGACGAAATCATCTTGTACCAATCAAATCTTTGAATTTGTATATAACACAAAGAAGTGAAATTCATTTAGGGTGCAGTTGGTTTGCCGTTTTCTAGTCATTTTTCGTTTTCCGTTTTCGAAAACGAGGAAAACGCGTTTGGTCCGTAGTTTTCGAAAATGCATTTTCGAAAACGAGTTAAAATTTATAATTGAAAACGCAAAACAACTTTTTATCATTTTGAGCGTTTTCAGTTATAAATTATCAAAACGCTCAAAACGCGAAAAATAGGCCGTTTTCGGAGAAAACTAAAAATCATTTTGAAAATGAAAATACAAACCAATCGCTACTTTAATTTGCAGGTCAAATTAGACGATATTTGTGAATCGTACTGTACATCGTAATCAAATTTATTCGGACTAAGGTTTTTGTTTTTTGTCTCAAGCATACAGTTGTGTTATATAATGGGACAAAATTGATCAGCCGACTACCTTAAAGTGGGCTGGCGTGACTTTTTTTTTTCTCTAACTTTACTTTCCTATGGAAAAAGGTTGTCTAAATGAAATGAACACGTTTGTCAATATTTTTCAAATTAATATTTTATTTTTCATATAGCCAACCTTTCTTGTGTGAAAGAAGCCGCCAAGATAGCAGTATTTTCCAGCAGAATATTCCAGGTTTACAGTAATCAGGAAGGATTCAGACTTTTTGTACTGTGAAGTCAAAAATTAAAATGTAATTTTTTTAAAAATAATAATATAATATTAATAAAAATAAGTTAATGAGCATTTTGATATTGAAAACGTATTATAATTATATCATTATCATTATTGTTAAAAGAATTTTGCTACTTGTATAGTTTTGTTTACTATTTCGTTGACAGATGTTGAACTGATGATGAGTAAATCAAATCGAATGTAGGAAGTATATGAATTGAATAAAATTTAAATTTAATTTAGGAAGTAAATGAAATTTAAATTTAATGCAAAAGTAATTAAAAAGTAATTCAAATTACATTTTGTCTGTAACGATTCTAAAACTTTTGACATCATATTTCAGGTAAATTTTTCTAATAAAA